TTAGTGGTCCTAGGAGCTGGAGCCAGTTTGGGAAAGGGGGTAGTTTTAAGTTCCTTGACCCTGCTGACACCTAAACTTTCCTCTTTCCCTGTGGGACCACAGCGTTTCGAGGAGGCAGCTGCTGTGTTCCAGGAGACTCTGAGAGGCGGGTCCCAACCTGATGCAGCCCGGGAGCTCTACTCTTGCCTTCTGCAACTCTCTCTGGTAAGGGAACCAGGCCTACTCTCATGCTGAGGGGACAGCAGGGAGAATTGGCTGGGATTGCAACACCAAGCAATGCTACCTTCTGCCTCAGGCGGGTAAGGGTGGGCAGGAATGGGTGGGATGAAGGACATGGGCTGGGCTGCTGGGAAAAAGTATCAGGTGCCCCCTTCTCCCTTCTCAGCAGGATCAGCGAAGAGGAATCCGTGCACCACCTCTGTCCACTGGGTTCCCCCAGCCATTTCTCCACGCTGAGCTCAGTCGCCCTCGAAGCACTGCTCCAAGGGCCCCTGGCCTTCTGTCTCCACCCCTGCATTATCCCCCATGTCACCCGAGCCATTCCAACTGGCCCCTTCCCCAGACTCAGAGTGGAAGACCCCCTCCTCACCAGCTCCAGGACCCCTCAAAGGACTGGGGCATCCTGGGACGTGGGCCCCAGCATCTACCTCAGGCCAGATGAAGGAGGACTTGACCCTCACAGGACAAGGCCATGTGTGCACAGGGATGAGAGACACTATCTGGTGGCAGTTCACCACGTGTTTTGAGACCTTGTACTCTAATACCATAGTTAAGGACACCCCTGGCAGTCTTTCCTCTTGCCATGGAGACTTTCTGATGAGAGAAAGAAGCCATGCATCCACTGAAACAGCCTTTCTTTGGTTCTCAAGCAGATGGCTTCTTTTGGGGACAGTAAGGAAAAATAAAAAAAGGCTCAAGAAAGGATCTGTACAAAAGTTCGGGTTTTCAGACTATAACAGGCCCAGCAGAGGGGGCATTTGGGGCTTGCTCTGCTTGTTGGCCCTGGGGGACTCATTGGCCAGCCAGAGGTCTGTGCTCAGGAATGGGGTCACAGTGATGAGTGAGGCCCGAGTCCCGCCCCTCAGCTGGATGGATGCTCACCTCTTCCTAATCCTAGTTCCTGCCCTGTTTTCTCTAGCCCCAGCTCCTCCTGCCCTGTTTCCTGTCCACATTTCTATGCACATTCTGACCTCTCCTTTGCCCAGTAGTTGATGCTCACCTCCTCCCACTGCTAGAAAATTCACCAAGGCTTTTGCATTTAGGAAGTCCCTTACCACCCACTGCCTGGAGCTGGCAGAGCCCATACATCTCCACACTCCCTCACTGCTGGTCTCCTGCTGATAGGGCCTCAGCAGGTGCCCAGGCTGCTGCCACCTTGGCTATGCTCTTTCTCTGCTCCAGCACTGAGCATTGTAACTAGCCTTTCCCCATGGGAATGTACTCAGTTTTTCCACCAAGGGTCCCTGCCCCCAAAGAAGGCTATATACTTCCTGTGTAAGAATCATCATCACCTTTTGGTTTCTCCTCTAAGATCCTGGCAGCTGCCCCTGGCTGGTTCCTCCCTAGCCCTGCCTGGGACTCTCAGCTCATTTAAATGTGGATCTGCAGGGGACTTTTAGGCCTCCCAGAATGCCTTTCCCAGAGGAACCATTCATCACAATGAATGATTCTTGCTGCCCTTTGGGTCTTGCTCAACACCATTCACACCTGGAGACAGGAGGTACTGAAACACCTCCTTTATGTAGGGCTTTCCCACCTCCTTTTATTGTTTATAGTTACAGGCTTCGTAGATACTCATCTCAGGATGAAGTCTGCCATTACTAGTTGGGTCACTTTGGGCACGTCTCTCAACGTCTGTGCCTCAGTTCCCTCATCTATAAAATGGGCAATCCCTACCTCACAGGGCTGTTGTGAGGACGGAAAGAGCAAGTGTGAGAAAATACTCACCAAGTGCCTGGTACAGAGTGGGTGTTAAATAAACCGAATTTTATCTGCAACTGTCCTACAAGTTCATGAATCCCACAGTGGGAAGAGAGGTGTATGAGTGAATTGCTGCTTATTTCACAAAATAAAGAGTTCCTGGGACTGTGGTTCTCAAAGTGTGGTCCCTGGACCAGCAGCATCAGCCTCACCTGGGAACTTGTTACAAATGCAGATTCCCAGGCCCCACCCTAGACCTTCTAAGTCAGAAACTGCAGGAGTGGGACCCAGCTGTTTGTGTTTCAGTAAGCCCTCCAGGTGATCCTGATGCACCCTAACATTGAGAAGCGGTGCCCTAGGACCTAGCAGAGGAGACGCCCATCCAGAGGCCATTTTGGTGGTACAGGTTTGAGTTTTGTTTATCCAAGGCTTGATTACAAGAGGTGGCAGCACTGGGCTAGAATTTAGGAAGCTTCAAGTGGAGGGGGTTTGTGGCTCAGAGCCCGCTGACTGGACCCTGCCTTTCTAACTAGAATTATTTGCCCTGGGAGTTCTTTGCTTATGCCTGGTTGGGGAGTGGAGTTCAGGAGAGGTGGTTAAGGGATGATTATATTACAGTGACTCCATAAAAGGCCTGCCCATCTGACCTTCTTGTTCTGGGCCAAGAGGGTTACTTCTCTGCTTTGGGGACTCCATTAGGGCTCCTGGCCCCTCAGAGAATGGACACCCACCACTACTGTGTAGTATCTTTGCTTTCAGGCTGAGCTGGCTCCTTGCTCTTCCAGCCTCTCGAAGAAATGTCCCCTCCCCAGTACTTCTTAGCCTATCCTGGATTTGAATCTTCTCCAAGAGCCACAGGACTCCTGACACCTGGACCACCCCCTCCCCCGCTTTGCCCCACACTCACACTGCTAACTGGTACGGTTCTGACCCAGCAGCCTGAGTTCTGAGTCCCCAGAGCTGGAAGCAGAGTGATCCCCCATCCTGGTTTTCCTGGGACTGAGGGATTTCCTACATCTGAGGGTGTAGGACTTTCAGTGCTAAAACTGGGAAAGTCCTGGAAAAGCAGGAATGAGTTTGTCACCCTAATCTAAAGGTTCCGGAGAGGCAGCCTTTACAAGGGGGTGAAGGGAATAGAGAAAGGGCCCTGAATAGGAGCCAGGGGAGATGTGTGTGTGTTGTGTATGTGTATTGAAGGGGCAACACAGGTGCACAGAACACTTTTTGTACATAATGGCTGACAGATTCTTAGCTCTACACTAATAGTCATTGTCTGTTTCTGTGCATGATGCCATTTTTATTCTGGTTGCCTAGGTTTGTGAGGTCATCACTGACTCACGCAATCTTTGGTCACTGGGGGAATCACACTGATTACTCTTTGGGACAACCTCCCTCCCCCCTCCATGTCTGGCCCTGAATTCTCTCAGCTTTTACCTTCTGTAGTAGCCGGAGATACACCTTCTTCAGGTCCCTGCCAGTCTCTGCTCTTTGGAGCAGATTAGCCTGCTCCAAACAGTGCTCTCATGCCTCTCCTGGAAATCCTCCAAGGACCAGGGTCTGTCCTGTACAATGCCTAAATTCCTGCCTTTAGTCCTTTTTCCTCTCTTTTCTCTGTAAACTCTTTTCTTCTTTCCATTAGGCCCAGTCACAGTTACAGAGACAGAACCTGTAATGGCCAAAAGCATCAGCTCTTGAGTCAGACAAGCAAGGAGGTTACTCCTAGCCCCTCTTACAAGCTTGATAACATGACCAAGTTTCCTTGGGCTTCTGTGATTCAGTCTCCTTATCCTCAAAATGAAATTAAAGTCTCATTATCTCATGGGGATATTGTGAAGATTAATCCATGCAAAGCACTAGGAACTGTGCTCAATAACTGGTAGCTATTACCTGAAAATGCCAGGTTCCCTTCTGCCTTCCGGCCTTGTTCACCCTCCCTGAAATATCCTCTCCTGGGACCTCCACCTGCATCTGAGGCCCTAGCTGACCCCCCTTGAACCCTGGATGGATTATTTCCAGAGCATCATTGTGGCTTCTGGGCAGAAGCATGGGAAGGTCTGAGGAGGGAGGAAGGACTGAATGGGGGTAGGGCAGGAAAGAGGCCTAAGTATGGTCTCCTGAAGATAGGCTGGGATGGCCTGGCTTGGGGGAAGGCCTGTAGCTACTGAGTGTTCCTCTTCCCTCCCCATCACACTACAGAAGGGTGATTAATCACCAGCAGAATCAATCTCAGAAATGTCCACTGGTGGGGGTAGGCTGGGATCTCCACCTCAGGTGGCCGCTACTCCCAGCTCCGCCTCAGCGGGCGGGCTGGCCTCCTCAACCCTCCCGCCACCGCCACCAACCTGGTGGAAATTTTTCGCCCCCAAATGCAGGGCAGAGGTCCCGGAAGTAGAGGTGTGTCCCCTCACCGTGCATGCATCACTTTGCCTGTGTCTCAGGTAGGGTTCTTTCAGCAGGGGCAGGACCCCATTAACAAATGACCTCAGAATGGGGAAAGAGGAAAGAGGTGACCACAACATGGTCACTCTGGGGCGGGCATAGAGGTTAGGAGTAAGGTCTCCGAGGCAGCGGCGGATCAAAGGCCCAGTGGAGTCCTGCGACCAAAGGCAGCCAGTAGGGGAGGGGTGGCCGGCAGCTACAGAGTCCCACCCCCTTCCCTTCAGCCCGGAGTCTCTCGGAGCAGAGGGCTGACAAGCACCGGTGGCAAAGGCTGGCTGGATACCAAGGTCCAAATCCTCACCCAGGGCTTCTTCCTTTGTAAAATGGACATATTATATCACGTACCTTACAGAGTTGCTATGAGAGCTAAGGGAAACCTTGAGTTTAAAGGCTCGGCACAGCACCAAGCGCGGAATCTGCAGAGTAACCTGCAGAGTTTGCTCTTATTGCTCCGGGCGCCGGGACTGAGGCGTTGTGCGGCGGAGTCTCGGCTTTATTCTCAACAACGGGGAAAGGTGGGCGTCTGGTCTGTGAGCCCAAGAGGCCAGAATCGACACCCTCCCTCCACCCAGTAACCCAGACAGGGCGCGGAGCGCCGAGGCGAGTAATCCAGGGTCCAGAGCCCTGGAGACGGCTTTGCCTTCAATCGTCCACCTGTATCTCCTCGTCTGACAGGTGGGGTCCGGAGTCGGGCCGGCCGAGGCCTGGGGCGCCATGAGGCAGCGCGAGGCGGCACTGGATTTCGGGGGACAGCGCGTGCAGCGAGGCCACGTCGGCGCGCATCTCCTCCACGTCGCGCTTGAGCTTGGCACGCCGGTTCTGGAACCACGTGACGACCTGCGCGTTGGCCAAGCCCAGCCTCGCTGCCAACCCGTCGCGCTCGGACGGCGCCAGGTACTTCTGGAAGACGAAGCGCCGCTCCAGCTCCAGCACCTGCTGCGCCGTAAAGGCCGTGCGTGACTTTCGCCGTCTGCGGCCGGCGGGGCCAGGGCCCAGCGCGCCCGGGGCGGCCCAGCCTGCGGGGATAGGCGCGGGTCAGTTTCCAGCCTGCGGGAATCAGACTTGGCCCCGGAGGAAAAGCTGGGGGTCCGGTCAGGCCAGGGTAGGGGTGAGGGGAGCGAGAAGGCGGATGGGAGCCAGAACCATGGTCCCTTACTGAACTGCGCGGGGGTCAGGCCGAGGTGAGGGTAGGGGCACAAAGTGGAACCGGCCACTGGGGTACAGGGGGCAGCAGGCTGAGGGCATCTTGCGGGGACAGAGGCTTGGGAGGAGGATGGAACAAGCCAGAGGAGACCTGGTGCAGGGATAGGCCGTCTGGGGCGGGGCCTGGAGGCCTTCCGGAGCCCCTGATTGAGCGGGCTTGACGGTTGGTGCCGGCACCAGAGGCGGGGGCCGACCCTGGTCAGAGTAGAGGCAGCCAACCCGGCAGGGTGAGTGTAACAGGGCCCAGATCGTGTCCTTCTTTAGATACGTGGGTCCTGTCGGGCCCTCGCGGCTTACTCTTTTTTAGTGTCACGGGCGCCCTCACCTCGAGCCCAAAAGGGAGATAATGGGGTTTCAAAGGGCAAGGAAAGGCAGAGTCCGGAGTCCCGCGGCCCTTACCGCTCCAAGGACCTTGTGCTCCTTGCCGCCCTCTAGAGAAGAGAGCGGCTTGGAGCGGAGCTAGGTCGCCCGGAGAGGCCCGAGCCTCGCCTCCCGGCACTTTCTGCGCCGCCCTTGCCCTAGCTCACTCGTTTACAGCCTTCGGCTCAGGCCTTTTGTCTCCATCTCTCGGCCTTTCTCTGTTGCGATTGCCCCGCCTACAGCGAACGGACCAAGGGGTCGCTCAGTTCTCGACAGACCAGCCCTTCTCCTTGGCGCAGGCGGCCTCCAGGAGCGGCCGCGGAGCCTGGGAACTAACAGGAGGAGAGGAGCGGGAGATGCAAGTCCCGGCACGGCACGTGGGCTGAGGGCAGGGGCAGATTAGGGTGGCGGCCAGGGTGAACGAAGGTTCGAGACCGGGAACCTACAGGGGAGAGATGGGGAGAAGGCCAAGTCACAGTGCGCGACCTTGCCGGCGCTATACCTTCAGAGGACTGCAGAGCGTGCCCGTCAAGTCCGCGGAAAGTTTTACTAGTCAGCTCCTCCAGCGCGCACAGCGGCGACGTGGGACCTGGGCTCGACTCTGGAAGCTGTGACGCAGAGGGTCCTCGGGGGACCACGCGTGGGCCTAGTATGTCCGCGATGCTGAAGGGTGTCGGAGGTGTCCGGGGCTCGGATCCCGAGCTCATGGCCGGCCGGGCAGTGGCGGTCCCGCTGCCCGCTGTGCTCGGCTCCGCAGCTGCCTGGGCCCCAGCGCGCGGCTCCCGTTCTGGGCCCCCCGCCTCGGACCCGCCCCCGCGCTGGGCTCGAGCCCCGTGTGCCCCTCCTCCTGCGCCCCCAACCCCCACCCCGGGACCGCGATGGGTCTGGAGCTGGTAGATGTCCCGGGAGCGGTATTTCCACTGGGTGGGGAGGCGCGCAGAGAAATCGGCAGAACAACCCGCCAGACCCGGCCGCGGGGCTGCTCTGCACTGCCAGGCGGGGCCCGGTACACACTCGGGCTAGACCCTTCCTGGGCGGCCCCCAGATTCTGTGTGCCACGGACTCCCCGCCTAGCCTCCGCTCTGGCTCATAAATTCGTCGGCAATAAAATTGCTTTCCCTGGCCCCAACGGCTGGGGATTTGCAAAATTCCGAGGAGGGAGATCAGAGCAGACTGTGCCCGATCCCACCTAGGAAGGACCTCGGTCTCCTGACCTGGCCCTTTCGCCCCCGCCCTCCCCCCCCCCCACAGAACGCTATTAAAGAGGTCCTGGCGGCTGGAAGTTATTAGCGCGGCGCGGGGGTCTGCGGGGACTCGAGGCTTGGAAGGACCTGGTTGGGCATAACAACTGCAACCGGGAATAATGGGGATGCGATGGGGAAGCAAGCACAGGTTGAGTGAACTCAGGCTGGCTCTCTGGTTGGACCCAAGGCTGTTCCACCATGTCTCAGAGGCCTTGAGGAAGTCAAAACACACGGAGAAGCCGCTGGAGACCTACCTGGGCCTCAGGAGAGAGGACATAGCAAACCCAGAGCTGGTGCTACTGCCCAGGAGGGGTCTTTGCCAGTGAAAACTGGCCTCCACCGATGGCCTTCTGGTTACTCTATCCAATCAATCGATTGATCTGTCTTTGCCTCCTTATTAAGCAAAGGTGTTCCAGTAGGGGTTCCCTGGCCTGGGGAGGCCCAGAAACCACCAAGCAGAAGCAGTGGTGCGAGGGGCCACTGGTCACTGCCCAGGAGCATCGGGGTCACTCCCTATAGAAGAGTGACTTGAAGGGCAGATTTCATGGACCCAACCAGATCCTGGGACAGAAACCTCTGTCAACCCAGGGACAAACTCTAAGGCCTGGGATAGTCATTCCTATTTTAGCTATATCCTGTCTGTCATTCTCTCTTCTCTCCCACACCTATTGTAGTTCTGCGCTCACACCCAGATTAGCACCCCACAGCCTTCCTTTGTAGGAAAAATGCAGCTCTGGGAGAGTGCTGCTCTGCCCGTGGAGGCCCAACAAGGCAAGGGTTTTGGTTGCATATCACATGCGAAATAGCTGGGATTCACAGCCCAGAGGCAGAGGAGCCCCACCACTCCTGAGGAACTGATCACTCCTAAGGAACTCGCTGCTATGGGTTTCTTTTAGTTGTTTCAAACAATGCTATGAAGAAGCGGATCGGTCCCTCCTAGACTCTCCATTATGTCACCTTCTCTGCACCTCCCACCATTTGTGCAGCAATCCTCTGTGCCCACCTGTCTATTCCCTGGGGCAAGTGGAGCCTGCAGCTGGGGTGCCCCAAACAGGGCTTAGGAGATTTGAGACAGCTGGGCCAAAGACTCCTTGACAAGGACAGGAAGGCACTTGGATAATGAGGGTCAGGGAACCTCATGTGGCCTGAGGCACTGACCTGGACCACTCAACAAAGGCAGAGAAACACAGGGTCTTCTTGGTAAAGGGTTCCCTCCAGTGACATGCCCCCCCATCTGCCAGACACACCCAGACACTCACATAGTGCCCTCATGGCAGCCTGAGCAACACACTCAGCCCAGTGGGCCACTGCTGGGTCAGAGAACAGAGCCAGGCCACAGGGGAAAGCAGAGATACCTCAGGACCTTGTTAATTGGTTATTAATGGTGGGGGGTGGGGGAGGGCCAGGAGAGATCCTCCTGGCTGAAGGCCTCAGCCCACTGAAGCGTCCTGATGGTTTCACTTAATCTGCAATTAAAGAGGGTCCCAGGAGGCTGCAGGAACTGCCTAGCTCATGTCCCAGGCCTGTCACCAAACAGACACTACGACCTTCCCTCATGCATCCTCTATATAGCTTTTATGTCATCTCTTCCTCTGCTCTCAATTACTAGTGTGTATCTTGGGGAGTGTGGGGCTCTCCTGAAGGGGCTTTGCCTTCTTCCCCTTCCATCTCTCCCGCCTACCTTCTCCCCCCTGAAACCAAGCTCAGGTAATGGGGTTGGACAATGGGGTTGAGCGATCCCCAGATGTGAGTTTGGGGAAGGAGAGGGAGGAGGCTGCTGACAGCAGAGCCTGACTAAGGTCATCCCAGCGGCCAGGGACTTGTCCAGACGATCATGGGGCCACAGGAGGAGACTTTTCCAAGCGAAGCCTCTGGAACCTGAGCTGGGGAGAAACCCAATCCGCAGAGGGGGATAGGAGGAGGGTGAGTGATTAATGAGGGAGATTAAGAGATTAAACCTGGATTCTGGGCTTCAGGGGGCGCTCAGCTGTCTCATATGTTTCCCCCCACTCCAGCTTGGGAGTGCCAATGCTCTCCAGTACCCGGTCATTGCTCACCTCTTCTGACCATACCTCCCACCCCATGGTCCAACCCTCCCTGTTGTAGGCTCTTCCCAGAGCAATCCACAGACGTGAGCCTTCACCCTCCAATGTTTTTCCTCTCCCACCATTATCAGGCAGTCCTTGTCTCCCACCTCCTCTGATTTCTCTCATTGTCCTTAAAGACATTTCGGAGTCCTCTTCTCCCTCCCCTTGTAGAGATCCCCACATTCTGACTTTCACTCCCTGGGGGAAAGCACTTGGATTCCCACTTAAGGATGCTCTCTCACACCTCCCCTCATCACCCCCTTCAGATTTCCCTTTCCTCATCCCTCCACCTTACCTCTCACCTTATTCCTTTTCTTCATCACCCCCACCTTACTTCTCATTCCCTGACACCGACATCTCACGATGCCTTGCCCACCTCAGCCTCTCATCCAGAGGGTTCCTCTACCCAGGCCCGCCCCAGATCGACCCCCTCTTCTTCGGACGGAGTGTATGGGGGGGGGGATTGGGGATTCTCAGAATAACCCCCTTGGGGCTGTGGATGGCAGAGGACAGTCTCAGAGCCCTGCTTGCCCTCCTCCTCCCCACCCTTAGGGAAAATCCGTTAACCAGAGTGACAGGCAAGTGGGAGTTTAGGGAGGAAACTCTAGGCAGAGGAGCATGGGGCAGGGTGTCCGTCCATCTCGCACACTTCTGGGATATTTTTCTTTCAGAAAACGTTACTGCAAAGCGAACCGATTCAGACACTTAAATTTTAGTTTCCTTACTTCTAGGGCCTCGGGTCTGCGAGTTCTTTCCTGCCCTTTACCTGGCTCACAAAGAGCTCTGCGCAACGGCTGCCATCCTGGGGGTGTGCGGGCTGGGATGAGGGACCGGTGGGATACTCAGACACCCCTCTACACAAACACACACACCCCAGAATCACTGTTCCAAGGAAGTCCCTCTTCCCTATCTCCTCCTCCCGCACCCGCTCCCCACAAGCCCTGGGAGAGACTGGCCAGACTGAGCGGGGCCGGTCCTCCTCTGTGCCAAAGGCGGGGGCAAATCTTGGCGCCTCCTCCCCTGGCTGAGTGTGGACCGCAGAAACAGCTAGGTGAGAAACGGCACACAAGGGCAAGGGCGGGCTTATCCCTGCAGGTGAGGATGATGCCTCCACCCGGTAGCGCCGCGAGGTCAAGGGCGCCCCGGGGAGTGCCGGCTGTGCGCTGGGACGGCCCTGCGGCCGCCTGTCTTTGAACGCGGCGCGCGCGTTCTGGGTCGCGGAGCCTAAGAGAGGCAAGGGCTTGATTTACTCGCCCTGGCGCAGATCGAGACCAAAGTGACCTCGGGGTACAGGGTTTGCGTGGGGCAGGTCAAGGAGCCGGGTAATGGACCCATAGATGGAGGGAGAGCGGCGCGGAGCTCGCAGCTGGCCTGTATCAGCCACCTCCCGAGACGAGACGCGCCGCAGCCGCCGCCGCCGCTGCCGCCACAGCCGCTGACAGACAAAAAGAAGGCTCCGCTGAGCTGAGGACGAGGCGGGGCAGCCGCTCCACCCCAGATCCAGGCCTGCGGGCCTTCCGCTGCTTCTTGGCCACAAGCCACGCGTCGTCAAAGGCCTCATCCCGAGGCTTGGTCCTCAGATCTCTTGGGACCTTGGGCAGCCTTATCTTCTGACTGGGCCTACCTGCTGCCAAGCCCCAACCAGACTACTCCTCAACTCTTGCAGCTGCTTGGGCCCAGAAAAGTCCCCAGGGGCATGTCTACTCTCCTTCCCCCTAGCCCACACCTCTCCCTCAGGAGTCACTCCCCAGAAATGCCCTTTCACACACAAACGCCTTAAGAACACCCTGAGTGTGGTGTGCTTGAGTGTGCCAGCGAGGCCCCAGAGCATAAATTCAGGGAAAAGAGTGTGTGGAACCCTGGGATAGATAAAATTAATCAAAAACCCGAGTTATATGCTGGTGTAGAGGCAGGCCCACAGGTGATCGAAGCAGCCCTGATTCTGGCTGAAGGAGGGTGTCCTGGAGGAGGTGACACTTAGGTCTTCACAGACTGCTGAGTATGGGGGGAGGGGGACAGGCATTCCAGGCATGAGGCCCTAAACATGGGAAGCTTTAGGAATCTTGGAGATCGTGTCAGGAAGGAATTGTGCCAGGCCAGTGGCTCTGCGGTGTCCCCGCTGCCTGCCCAGCACACCCAACAGCTCTTCTTCTCCACCCGTGCCTTTCTCTTGTCCTAAAAGCTTCATCCATGGGGAGGGAAGCCCAGGCTGACTGTGCACCCATTGTGAGCTCAGGTTTCCGCCCCTCGAGTCCCCGGCTCTCTTAGCCAGTTCAGACCTCCTTCACTAGATGCCCCCCTCCAAGTCATCTTCACCCATGGAAGCTTGGTGCCTTTAGCCCTCACCAGCTATACACTACAACCCCACTGAATTTGTGGAGTCACACTTCGGCCAGCATGAGATTTAGGCTTTAAACTCTGGTAACAAATGTTCTGGCAAAATTTATGCTGCCTGCTCTATCCCTCTTGTCCCAGATTCAGCAGCAGCCCATTCACATCCTTCAGAAACTCTTTGCTTTGGCCTCCAGCCTCCCTCTGTTACTATCCTAGTTGGGCAAGTTTCTGGCTACCCCACAGAGAAGCCCGTGTACAGGGACACTGGCTGGGTTTATTTCCAGAGCTCGGTGCTCAATGTTGGGCTCGAACAGACAGGGAATGTTGGCTGAATTACGGAGTTCTGGTCTTGCTGCTTCTGCTGGTTCCTTGAAGCTGCCTTTGCTCTCCTGGGCACCAGCTCCCTCTCCTCCTCAACCACCCTCTCCCCACCCTGGCCTCACCTAGCCCAGGTACCTGAAGTCTCGCTGAGTCTTGTCTGGATAGCCAGGTCTCCAACTCTGCCTATCCCGTGTGCTCCTGTGCCCCCCCCCCCCCAATTTTCTTTAAGACTCCTCCCATAGCGCAATTCTTTCAATTTTTCTTTAATCTATCACTCTTCTTCAGTCCTGCGGTGGCCACTGTCCAACCCTAGCCCTACTCTCACCACTCTTGAATTAGGGCACCTCCACTCAGGACTGCGTCATATGCTGCCACATTCAAGGACAGTGAGAGCTCCCCTCCAGAAAGCCTTCCCTTCACCAAAAAGAGCTGGTGCGGGCGGCCTGGTTGCACTTAGCTCACCTTCTGAGTTTTACATGTGTAGGGTCCTCTAGCCCTCTCCTCTGGCAATTCGCTGGGGGACCACGGACATAGAAAAGCCCTCCTTCTTGATGAATCTCAGAGGATTTCTGAGGGAAGCAGGACACAGGACAAAGCATGAGTGTGTGGTAGGACAAGAAGGAGGAAGAGAGATGCTTTTTTAAAGTTTTTATTTCAAAAAATAAAGCCGCAGTTAATTTCACATAAATATCTGGGGAGGGAAGGGGAGAGGGATGGGGTGGGGGCTTGGCCCCTACCTCCTCTTCTCTTTCACACTGTATTGTAAAAGCAAAGGGGATGGCTAAGGAGAGAACGGGAGAAGAAGCAGTCAGCGGGAGCATTCTTACCCAAAAGGCCCCCCCAGCCCACCCCTGCCCTGAGGACCGCCTCGGCCCTGGCTCACCTTGCCGAACCAGCGGGAGAGCCATATCTGCTTCATGGTCATGTGATCAGGGAGAACTTCATTGTCAAAAAGGAGCTGCACCTAGGAGATGGGGCACAAGTTTTAGGAACTCTCCTATTGCACACATCAAGAACTACCCTGGTCCACCCTAGACTTTGTCCCTCTCTTTGTAGCCCCCTCCCCCTCAAAAAAAAGAAACTTACTGTGGGAGTACTCACATGCTGGGGATTTAGCATCAAGCGGTGACACAGGACCCTTCGGAGATGGCGAACCTCAGCTCTAACAGAACATCGGACATATTTGTTCTGGGGGTGGAGAGGGAAGAGAAGGTGTGTGAGGGAAGGGCCACAGGGAGGTGAGTCTCCTTAGAGAGGCCCTCCCCTCAGCCCCTCTCACCTGCAGGACACTTTTATTCTTGTCTTTGCCAGAACTGGGGGGAAACAGACACCGGTTAGGGAGCCTTATCTTTCCCACTGTCCCCCACCCAGAGCCATGATATACTCTTTTCAAGGGAACAGACACTCCATCACTTCTTCCCAGCTCTGGGTCATTGACTCTGTCACTTCAGACAGCCCACAACTTGCCCCTCACCTCAGCCGCTCCAGACACAGGCTCAGCTGCTCATCATAGCGATAGTAGTGGGCTTTAGAGTGGTCGAAGCTGCTAAAGGGGAGGCCGAGGTTGCTCAGGGCTGGCTCTGAGAAAACAGAGTAGTGAGAAGGGTGGGACAGATTTGATACTCCTCTTCCCCCGGAGAGCAAAACTGGGCAGGAGGAATGCTCTGGGAGCTTTACTTTACCCTCCTGCTGCCAAGGAACATACCTTCCCCACTGGGCTGGGTGACCCGGTCCAAGCCTCGGGACTGGTAGAATTCTCTAATTCGTTTCTCTTCACCTAGAAGGGAGTAGAGTACAAGAAGTAAAGTATTAATCCTCCTTCACTCTTTGTCCTTCTGGCTGTCAACCTCTTTACCTACATGATTCCCACCAAAGCCCTTGTCACCTCAAGCTGCCTGCCACCCAGCATCAGTCCTCTAGAGGCCCCTCAGAGTCAGGTTGGTCACTCACTGTCTTGCAAGCCAGGCACTAGCTTGTACACAATGTCCTGCATGACCCGGTCCAGTTTGAGGTTGAGCAGTGGCTGTGTCTCGTGGATCTTGATGTTGCACATGGGGCAGTACTTGCTGGTTTGGAGGTACTTCACAATACAACTCTTGCAGACTGCAGGAAGAGAAGAGAGACTCTCAGGCCCTCTGGGAATCGGGTTCAGGGACTGAGTGGGGTGTCGTGGTGATTGGGGCAGGCAGCCCAGAGGCTGGCAGCCAGCTTGGTGGGGACTAGGGCCTGGAAGAACCACCCAGGGTCCAGGGCACTCACAAGTATGAAGACACTCTGTGATGGTGGTGGCATCCACGAAGTAGCCTGCGCACAGACAGCAGACGATGTGCTCATTCAGATCTTTGATCTTTACTCGGACCTCTTCCTGCGGACACACCCTCCGTCACGGATCACTCTCCACCCCCAACCCCAACCCCAACCCCAACCCGTGCGCCTTCCCAGCTTGGAAATCGCCTCTTTCATCAGACCCCACGGCCAAGCCTCGCACCCTGCGCGGTCTGCCCGGGATTAACTCCCGGGGGTTGACACTCCCCCTCCGCCCAGCAGAGGGCTCCGCGCACAGCGGGGGCTCCCTTCACGTGGACTCGCTCGACCTTCCTTTCCCAGGGGAGACTACACGACGTGGGCGGCACAATGCGCAGGCGTCCTAGCCCAGAGTTTGGCAACCCGACCGCAATCGCGCAGGCGCATTGGGCCCCCTGTCTCTGCGCAGGCGCACTGGGCGCCCGGCCAGCCACCGCCCGTCCTCTAGCCGGCCCCAGTTCGCACCGCCAGCCGACCACAGCAGTAACCCTGCCGCCTCTGCACCTCGTTCCGTAGCGGGTCCATCTTGTACACTGACTGGAGCTGGTTCCGAAGCCTCATCGCGATCGCAATCTGGCCCCCCTGAGGAGACGCCATCTTAAAGGCTGATCCCGGCCTGCCACTTCCGGTGCCGCCTGCGGGGCGGGACTTGTCGCCCAGCAACGAGGGCTTAGGTCTTTTCGGATTCGCTGGCCTTCTGTAAGGCCCCGCCCATGTCCCTTTCTCCCCGTGTGCTCACCTGAGCCCCACTGGCCCCTCCCCTTCCTCAATCCGTAATTAGGGAGTGGGGGGGGCGTGGGGAGGGGCGCTATCTCTTTGACTTCCCGTAGTAATAGTCATAATAGTCCCTACCCGACCTCGGGACTAACTTTTGGAGCCTGCGAAAGACTGCCCGCTTCTACCCCAAAAGGCCCGGGGTCTCCGCCCGCCGCCGCTCAGGGTCGTCGATCTCCTGTGACGACGACCCCGCTAAAGAAGCTGCTCTGGGGCCCTGTCCTCGTAATGTCTCCTTCGTCGGCTGACGCGTCTGCGTTACGGAGCTTCATCCGGATGGCGGGCCTTCTCCCGGCTCCACAGCGGGAGTTTCTCGGGGCTTTGCGGAGTCTCGGAGAGGATGGCGGGGAGGGAGGGACCCCCAGGGACTTGGTAGTGATCTTATCCTCCCCCCCCATCCTCCCCCTGCCGCCGGGGATGGGGGGGCAGGCCCTGGTTAATGATGATGATTCAATCATCGGCGCCTGCGGAGGCCTGGGACAGACTAATGCAGAGCAGATGCCGAAGGAGGAGGGGAGGACGGCTAGGACACTACCGCACACAGACACGCTGAGGTAGCGAGCGCCTGCAGTAGCATAGGCCCAGCCCCGAACTTGGAGAGGACACAGGGGCCCTAGGTCTAGTACACCGCAGTCCCTAGGTACTTAGAGTGGAATTAAAAAACAAGGATAAGTTTACTGTGAAGTATTAACATCAAGTGCAATTGGAGACGAGAAGGGAGAGATCCCAGTGGAGACCCTGAAAAGCTTTTTGGAGGAAGTGGGACTTTGTGTGGGCACAATTTAGGGATTGGGGGGCGGGGGTAAGAAATGTGGTGGAAATAGAAAAGAAAGGCAGAGTGGAGGGGAATGGCAGAGGAGGGACAGGAAGGAGGCCAAGGTGCGGATTTGAGAGTAGTGATAGAAGCAGCAGGGCTTTATGGAGTTGGGACTTGAGCCTGAGGGCAATAGGGAGCTAGCAGACTTTTTTGAAGGGAGAGAGTTACCCTGTGAAAGAAACATTTTTGTTCTTTTATCTTCAGAGTGAATTGGAGTAGATAAACAGCAAGAGGTTATGAGACTAGTGAATTTTTAATCAACTGCTTCTCACTACAGCCACTGCTTTCCTCTCTGGTCCAAGATGCCAGCATCTCTCCTCTGGGTAATTGCAGTGGCTTCTTGCCTGCTTTCCATGCTTTCACCTTTGCTTGTTTTGAGCCTAGTCCCAACATAGCCTATTCTCAACAAAACGTGAATGAAAAAGGATACAAGGAAAGTTTTTTGAGTTAATGGATAAGTTTATTATCTTGATTGTGGGATTTCATGTGTCTATACATATGTCAAAACTTATAAAATTATACACTTTAAATATATGCAGTTTATTGTATGTCACTTTCACCTTAAGAAGGCTGTTAAAATAAAATTAAAAGATTAAGTGTCTTACTTTTCTGTTTAAAACCTTCCAATAACTTCCCTTTTCAATTAGAATAAAAGCCAAAGTCCTTACAATGGTCTTCAAGGCCTTGCATGGTCTCTCACAGTCATTCAGTCTCCCCAGTTACATGGGATCCCTCATTGTTTGGTCCACAGATACACCAGGATATACTCTCAACGTGTCCCTAACTTGAAATGTTCAGATATCCAAATGGATCCTTTCTTCCTTCAGGTCTTTACTCCATGAGGCCTTCTGTGATCACTCTAGGTAAAAATCATACCCCCCACCATCCTTTCACTTCTTCTCCTCCTTTGCTTTATTTTTCTTCTTAGCATTTAATATATATTTTTCTTGCTTTTCACCTGCTTCTTCCACTAGAATGAAAGCTTCTTAGTGGCCAGAATTTTTTTTTCTGTTGTGTCTACAGCTATATCTCCAGTGCCAGGTGCATAATACGTGTTCAATCAACATTTTCTGGATGAACAAATGAATGAATGAATGTAAGTGGTGGTGATGACAGCCTAAATTAGGGTTTTGTCAGTGGAAATGGAAAGGAAGAGCTGTATATGAAACATTTCAAAGGAAAGCATGATAGGAGGAAGTGAATGAGGAGCTTGGGAGGGGAGCATGTCCTCCAGCCTGTTGGACTTAAGGTGGCTGCAGCAAAGGCAGGGGGAGCTGCCCAGAAGGCTAGAACAGAGGGGCTGGAGCACAAGTGTCACAACTAGGGAAGGAGGCCTCAGAGTTTTCTGGTTAGATGTAATAGATGGGACTATTGGAATGGATGAAACCTGAGCAGATGTAGAGAGAGATAAAGCTGAAGTCTGAGCTCTGAAGAATGCTCAGTCTGGGGCCGGCTCGGGTGGTGCAGTGGTTAAGTTCGCACACTCCACTTTGGCAGCCCATGGTTCACAGGTTCGGATCCCAGGCACTGACCAATGCACTGCTTGTCAAGCCATGCTGTGGCGTCCCATATAGTGGAAGATAGGCACAGATATTATCCCAGGTCCAATCTTCCTCAGCAAAAAGAGGAGGATTGGCAACGGATGTTAGGTCAGGGCTAATCTTCCTCACACACACAAAAAAGAATACTCAGTCTTCAGTGGAAGAAGCAAAGTCAGTGGAGGAAAAACATAAGCAGTGACTACAAAAGTCCAAGATGTAGAATAAGACAATATTACAGAAACCAAAAAAAAGAACATTTTAAGAAATAGTTGGTGATCAACAAAGTAAAACATGTCACAGAAGTCCTGGATAATGGACACTGGAAGTCTCTCAGAAAGGGTCAGTGTAGTGTAGTGAAATCAGACTGCAGTGGGTTAAAAGAATAAATGATGAGGAAATGGAGGCAGTGGGTGTGGGCAGTACAAGAGAAAAGAAAAACATAATTTTTCTTGAAGAATCAGGCAAAGATTTTGTCCAGACAGTAGAGACCTTAGACAGTTGGGGGTTGGAAGGACTAAGTTGATGAGAGAAATGATGATACAGGAGTGGGGACTACCTTGAGGGAAGGACACTGCACCAACAGCAGGAAGGAAGGGAAGGTACAAGAGCACAGGCTGAGAATATGACTCTTCCTGTAAAGCTGCAGGCTTGAAGGCCTGAAAACATGAAGGGTTGAGGGGCCACATGCACGTAGGATATGGTGAGATGGGGGAGGTGGGGTGCTGACCCCAGGGCCTCCATCTTAGACATAAACCAGCAGGAACCACCCTTTTCTGAGAATTGGGATCAGAAAGGTAGAGGCAAGCAGAGAAATTCCTAGGACTGTGGCTGACAAAACTGGATACTCTTTGTTCTTGAAGTGGGGCACTGAAATCTTTTATTTTTTTTTAACTCCCCAGAAGATTTGTAGGTACTAGTGGGTTTGTGAGCATCCTCCTCAAAGGGTCAGTTGGTCAGTCTCTGCATGGCAGCGCCATCTGTGCTGACCTCAAAAAGGCAGGATGAAAAGTAAGCACGAAGACGGGTCTGCATGCTGCTGCTTTTTTCTCCTTCGTTGATTCACTCATTAATTCATTCCAGAAGGATTTATTCAGCTTGGTTAGCAACACACTAGTGCACACCCTCTCCTCAGAGGCCCACCCCCTAGAGTGGGGAAAGGGACTGGCAAACTCCTAACCTGCAGGCTAGTCCCCTTCAGAGGCTTTATTTACTTTGCTGTCTCTCTAGGCTCTCTGTTCTTGTCCAGGCGATCCAGCCCATGCCCTCTCTGAAGGTTTTGCCTGAGCAGCAGAGGCTTCATGCTCCCCAGTAGCCCCACCTCTCTACTGCTGAGAAAGGGTGCTTGGGCTTCTGTGAAGGGCTAGGGGAGGTGATAATGTCTGTCTTCTTCACCAAGATAAAAACATAGCTGCCAAATTGGCAGGAGCCCCCCCATCCCCCTCTTTCAGAAGGGGCTGTTGGCAGGATGGGGGAAGGGCTGGAGAAATTGGATGATGGAGGTGGACAGGGTTGGGGGAGGATGTCACATGTTATTAATGCCCACTGCCTCCCTCGCCCATGGTTCACCCCCTTCAGACTGAGGCTTCTGAGAACACTGAGGGGCTGGTGGCTTTGACTGGGGAGAAAGCCCACTCTCTTTTCTCTTATCTTCCTGCCCAGATGCCCAAATATCATTCCTGGTTCCCTGGAGAGAAAAGACCTCTCACCCTGCCCCAGGCACCAGGCTGCCAGCCCATCTGCTGGGAAGAACAGAGGGGCAGAGTCTTTCCCAGGAGATCCTGGAAAATCAACTGGAAGACCCGTGCTCCCAGGGAGACCCATCTACTAGACTTACAAGGCGTTTCGGCTCACAAGGGTAACCGGCAGCCTGGAGCTGAGCTCCGGAGTGGGCTGGGGTGAGGGGCTAGGGCTGGCACAGCGGGGCGGGGTCCTTTGGCCACCACGTGTCTGAGGCAGGCCGAGCTGCTCATCGGTGCCCACCCGCCGCTGGGTGGTAGGAACATCCTCCTCCTTGCACCCAGTCTCACCGGCTCGGAGGCGCCAGGGCCCCCCCGGGCTGGGGCGGGCCGGGGAAGGTAATGTAATTCCGACCCAGCTAACCCGATTATGGCGGCCTGCACCGGGCCGGGCGGCGGCGGGGGCGGGTCTAAGGCGCAGGGGCCCGCCCGGCCGGGGGTCCCATTCCGGGGAAGGACGCAGAGTTCACACACTTCCAGATTCTGGGTCGGCAGCCAGAGGTCACAAGGTCACCGAGCCGGCTTTGGTCTTTCCCCACCTCACTTCTCTGACACGCTCCAGGCACAGTTTCTGGGGCTTGGGTGGGGTGAGGCGTCTATGGGAAATGAGGCGGCTGAGATCCTCCGAAGGCTTCAGTGAGGTCCCACGAGTCGCCTGTGGCGATTTCGTCCTCCTGCCTTTGATGGGGGGGGGGTGTGTGTGAGAACAGACTTCCTAGGCGCAGAGTGAAGGGGCAGAATCCCGCGTTGGTGGTCCCCTGTCGGGGGCAGAACGCCAGCCCCAAGCTCCCATCGGCCTGGGTTGGCCCGGGTTGAGCCACGGGTCCGCTTTACACCGATTTCAGAAAAATCGAAATTCTAAGAAACACAGGGCACCGATTACTGGCGCTACTGGAAGGAGCTAGGGGCCCTATAGGAGAGGCCGGGGGGTGCACCAGGATCACGGGCCCAGAGTGGTTGTTCCCCGCCCTAGCCCACCGGACGCTCCCTGCCACCCCCTTCCCACACCTGTCCTCTTCCCGGGCCTTCAGTCCGCCGGCGCGCCGTTCCCCAACCGCTTCCCCTCGCAGCCAGGAAGCCACAACGAGATTTGGTCTTCGAGGGCACTTAGGCGGGGGCCACAACGAATCCGAGAGTCGGCAGACAGGACCCATCGGGAGGCGAAGAGTGGGGGCTGTGGGAGGAGGCACCTGCGAGGAAGCCGGTGGGGCCGAGGAAGCCCAAAGGCGGAGGCTGGCGAGGATGGAGTTGCCTTGCTTATCTCGGCTGACTCAGCACGCAGTGGCCTGGGCTCTGGCCCCTCCCGTGCCAAGCCTGATTCCTAACACCCTCGCCACCTCCCCCCCAACCCCCACCATCCCCCCTGGCCAGTCTTCCCCGCGCTTGGCGCAAACAGGCGTCTCTTCCCCTTTAACGGGCCCGGCCCCGCCCCTGCCCTACCCCCAGCCCCCACTGCCCACCGAGGCTGATCTGTCAGTCACTGCCCTAGCCGGAGCCGGCCAACCCTCTCCACCCGGGACTCGGGCAGAGGCCCAGGCAGCCCAGCGTCCATCTGCGCTTCAGAGCCAGCAAGGGCGCTCCTGGGGCCCCGGCCGGTCGCGCTCCCCCGGGATGCAAGTCCCTGTACCGACGCGCGGCAGAGGCCGGCACGAGCGCGGCTACTCCCGGTGCACAGGGATGAAGCCGTCCCGGGGGCCCCGATGCACCGCCGTGGCCAGCCCCGCGGGCCCCTGAGGCCGCCGCCCCGAGCGCTCCGCTGCTGGGCTCCCAGAGCTGCCTGGGGCGCCCTCCCCAACAGCCGAACCTCCTGCGGTCCTCCCTGACCCGGACCCATGGAGCCGGCAGTGCTGGCCTCGCACAACCTCCCGCACCACGAGCCAATCAGCTTCGGCATCGATCAGATCCTGAGCTGCCCGGAACCCCTCGGGAGCGGCCTAGGCCCGGGTCGCCCCGGCCAGGGCCATGGGGAGAGTGCGGCGTTCTCGGGTGGATTTCACGGAGCCTCAAGCTACAGCCCCGCGGGCTCGCTGGCCCCGCTCCCCGGCAGCTCCGGCGTGGGCCCGGGCGGCGTGATCCGCGTGCCGGCGCACCGCCCGCTGCCAGTGCCGCCGCCCGCGGGAGGCGCGCCTGCGGTGCCTGGACCCTCGGGCTTGGGCGGCGCCGGGGGCCTAGCGGGACTCACCTTCCCTTGGATGGACAGCGGCCGCCGCTTTGCCAAGGACCGGCTCACGGGTGAGGTTACCCGACCCCTCCAGCATCATGCCGCACACTGACCCGGTTTCCTCATCTTTGATCCTTCTGCTCCAACTCAAGGTCCCCTTTCATACCCCCCATCATCCCAGGGGATCCTCCCCTAACTTGTCTCTCTTGGTCCCGCTGCTGAGAGGCGATGGGGAGGGAGCTGCCGTCGATGCCCGCGTCCTCCTCTGCAGTCCACTGTCCACAACGCGGGGAGGGCCAGGTGAAGTTACAGGGACGTCTCTCCCTCACTCAGGGGGAGGGCCGTGTCTTCCGGGGCCCTTTCTCGTCTAGAGGCCTCTACTGATGCGGGGCCGAGCTGGGGGCACCGGTAAGGACCGGGCGCCGGCGCTCCGCGGCCTGGGCAGCCGAGCTCTCTTCTCAGTGTCACCACGGGCCGCCCCCTAAACCCTGCCTTGCTCTTTCTTCCTCCCTGTAGCCGCGCTCTCGCCCTTCTCCGGGACGCGCCGCATAGGCCACCCCTACCAAAACCGGACCCCGCCGAAGCGGAAGAAGCCGCGCACGTCCTTCTCCCGCTCGCAGGTGCTGGAGCTGGAGCGGCGCTTCCTGCGCCAGAAGTACCTGGCCTCGGCCGAGAGGGCGGCGCTCGCCAAGGCCCTGCGCATGACAGACGCTCAGGTCAAGACCTGGTTCCAGAACCGGCGCACCAAGTGGCGGTGAGGCGCGGGGCGGGCGAGGGGCCGCGGGCGGAGTCAGGTGGCGGTGAGGCGCGGGGCGGTCGAGGGCAGCCTCGCTGACCCCGCATCCCTGCCCGCCCAGGCGCCAGACGGCGGAGGAGCGCGAGGCGGAGCGGCACCGCGCTGGCCGGCTGCTCCTGCACCTGCAGCAGGACGCGCTCCCGCGGCCGCTGCGGCCGCCGCTGCCCCCGGACCCGCTCTGCCTGCACAACTCGTCGCTCTTCGCGCTGCAGAACCTGCAGCCCTGGGCCGAGGACAACAAGGTGGCTTCCGTGTCCGGGCTCGCCTCGGTGGTGTGAGCGACGCCTGCCCGACCAGCCGAGGGCTCTTTTCCGAACCGAGGCGCCGCGTGAGCGCCCGGCTGCCCAAGCCGTGGTCCCGTGGCAGCGGAGCGTGTGAGAAGGAGCCGGCCCTCAGGCTACCGTCGAGGGCTCCTCCGCCACCTTGGGATCCCAGGCCAGCATTGCGCAGTTGCCCAGCGCGCTTAGATGCAGCCTTTCCCGCCATTTTTCACTTAGACTGTTGCACCGCGGCTGGAACCTGGGGCGCCAAGAGGGCGGGACCTATACTATGGCAGCCAATGAGGTGCGGGGAGGGGGGCGGGCTGGCCAATGGGAGCTGCTCTCCTGAGGGACTCCGGATTCGTCCGTGGTTGGGTCGGAGCTGGGGTTCGGGGGGGCTGGAGCAGGTTAAAAGCGGTGCTGGCAGATGGGGCTGCAGCAGCCCGTGCTGGCTGGGTCTGCACCAAAGGTGTGGAGGAAGGAAGGTATCAGCGACAGCGGAGTAATGGAGAAGGTGCTGGAGAGCGAGGGTCTAACTGACTGTGACAGGAACCAGAGGGTTATCCACCCTGGGCATCTCATCCTTCAACTGTAAAATAATCGCTAAGGATTCCTTCCTGACTTTGAGCGTCATGTTATCCGTGTGTGTTCAACCTGCTGACTGCGTCCTACCACTTGAGGCTCACAACGTGCCTGGGTGGCAGGCGAGACGCATGTCTATATGCCGGATGAAAGAGAAAATCCAGGAACACTAATCTGGCTGTGGTGTCCCACGGGGACGGAGAGGGGAGAGTGGGAAGCAGTGGGCAAAGTTAATGGGCCCAGTGGAGTTAGGGTGAGCAGAATTTGGCAAATAATTAGGAAGTGACAGACCGAAGAAGAATCAAAGATAATCCCAAGGTTGGAAATGTAGAGGATCAGGAAATCAATGGTGTGGTGGATGATGAAGGACAATTGGGAAGATAGGAACAAGATTAACTCTGCAGGAAAAACTAAATGCTAGACCTAGAGAGAATAAATTCTGGAAAAGTGCCTTTGTGGGAGGTCATTGGCATCTACATAGAGGTGAAGATAGATGGAATGATGAGAACAGAATCCTCCAGGGAGGAAACTGAGGAGAAAAGCAGAATTCTAAGGATTAAATCTTTCCACCAAATTCTACAAAGACATTTACAATGTGCAAGATGATGGAGGATAGCAAAGTCCAAGGGGAGAAAAGGGAAAGGTGTCCCCAACTGAAAAGAAAGGAAAGCATGGTGTCCCTGAAGTTGTTAGAAAGACTTTAGCTTGTGGGTGGGCCAGGGGCTGCTGGGAAGCTTGTTGATGGGAAATTGAGAGTTTGGGGATGGTTGCAATAGCCTTGAGGTTTAAGAAGGAGCAGGATTTAAGTTGTATGAGGACGAAAGGGAAGATTTTGTCTGATTCCTATAGCACCCTCATTATTCTTCCCCTGGAGGCAGGAGCAGTGTGATAGAAGGAAGTGAATTTTATGCAGGGTCAGAGGCCAGTTGTAGCCAAACTACTCGTGTTCTGTGTTAGTGACAGCTAGGTTGGTCATAGCATAAAGGCTTGACCAGGGGTAGGAACCAGGCAAGAGGGTATCTCTGGAGGAGTTGGCCCTGAGTCTTTGATATTGTCATCTCTAACTCATGGATGTTGTATGTGCTGTTGCAGAACCAAACTCAAATTTGGCACCATAGAAAAAGAACTTTTATAGACCAAAGGGGAGCACAAGGATGGGTTTGGCATAACTTAGGGGTATGTCAGTGCCTCTCCAATAAATAGAAAAAAGCCAAAGAAAGGGTCCTACCCTATGTGGACTATGGCTTACCCGATTCCTTCCACTCCCAGCCCATCATTTCTTGAGACTCAGATTCCAGGATTTACATCTGACCCTAAACTTTGGGCTTCTAAATCTGGCTGGCTGTCTTGGCTAGCCTGGGGGAGGATCTAATGTGATGAGATGGGCTCAGCTCCATTCCTTAGGCAGGTCACTGCAGGACACAGGCATCTCCAAGCTCTTGGGTGGAGGAGGATTCACTCCCTGTTGAAGAATCTGCCATTTCTTCCCTCAGCTGGTTCAGGAGGTCTCTGCTTTCACTTGGGGGCAAGTTACTCAGGAAGTATGGAGGGGCCAATTCCACCAGCCTGACAGAAAGAGTCATAATTAGATGATTTCTGTATCCTCTCTTACAAGGCAGCTTCTTAAACTTCTCACTACCCCTTCCACAAACCCTGTCTCCTCAAATCATATGTTACTACAAATCACTATGATCCTTTCCTCTTCTTAGGGTTCTCTAACTCCCCAGCCATAATTTTGGCCCCAGGAAGAGGCATGGGCAGTGTAGGAGGGGTGTCAGGGAACTCACATCTGTGGCTGAATCTCAGAAACAATGGAAAGGCAGTTGTCTTTGGAAATGGAGAAACTGTGGTAAAGCACCCATGGTGGGGGTCTGGCTGGAGCCCGGCGGCTTCGGTAGCAGCAATATGGGGAGAGCTGGGCCACATGTTTATGGGTTAGGAGCAGGTAATTTCCAGTCCCATCTGTGTCTCGGGCCACCTCATTGAAAGGCAAAGATATTAAAGGAATAAGTGAGAGAGAAGAACCAGACAGTAGAAGAAAAGAAAAGGGGGCTGAGAAAGAATTAGTAAGGGTGGTGAGAGTATTAAAAGTAAGGCGTCATCTCTAGGTGTTATAGTCCCTCCCACACCATATGGCATTTTCCACAGCCGCTTGTGCTGTAAAGCCTCAAAGGAAAAGTTTCTCCTGATCCTCAAGAATCCTTTGAATGGACAACTGGACCCCAGTTTCAGAGGTGGCATACCAATCTTTGGTCCTTCTGCCTTCTGCTCCATTTATGACCCTCACCCCAACTCTCCCCTAACCTTAAGGAAGTATCCTGACACCAGTGCTTTCTGAAGGTCTCTGCGATTCTGCTCAGAGCCAAACGCTGGTTGGGACAAGGGAAGTTCAATTTGTTGCATGAGTTCTAGGAGTTCTCCTCGAAGTTTACGGGCTTGGCACAATGCTGCCCAGTTTAGACCCCGAGCCTGGCACCAAGCCTTGTCTGCTCCACCTAGGAGAGGAAAGGAGAAGAAACTTCAGCTACAACTGAAGTCCTTGAGATCACCTAAAGAACTCAATCCTTGGCCAAAGGCCTCCTCTTCCTGGGCATAGAAGTCTGTCAGCTGGTTGCACACCACTTCCCTGCTTGAGAAAACTTGGGATTCTATAAGAGGATGCAGGGTGGGCCACTCACTCTGTATAAAGGCTTCATACACCTGGATCAGAGAGCTGTGATCACCATCTGCGTGTTCCAGGGCCCGACGCAAGGCAGCTTCTTCTGCACAGAGTGGAGGATGGGTAAACCCAGGGGCAGCTGGAGGCAGAAAAGAGGAAGGTTGTTTCGGGGAAGGAGAAAGGAGAGCAGTACAGGTGGAACTGTAAAGGTAGAAGTGTCACTTTGGGAGCTTTATTCAAAAGACACTGATAACTTCTAGGTGCTATGCACTTTAAAAGACATTGGAGATAAATAAATGAAAGACAGTCTGTGCCCTCAAGGAGCTTAGAGTCTGGTGGGAGAGACCAACGAGTAAGCAAACTTGATGAGCACAATCGGTGTGTGGGCCAACAGTTGAAGTTTGAGTAGGAATTAGCTCGGTGGAGAAGGGGCAGAGAGAGTATTCTAGACTGTGGGAACAGCAAGGTACAGAAGTTAGTAGCCTGGCATGTTTGGAGAACTGCAAGAAGCTGGTAGGGGTGGAGGGAATGGCACGTGTGGCAGAGTGGCAGGAGATAAAGCTGGAGAGGTAGGTATGGGCGAGGTCGTGAGAGGCTGGATGTGCTGTGCAAATGAGCTTACATTCTGTCTGGAAGGTAAAGAACAGCTGTTGAAGAGGAGTTTTTCAGTAAGAGAGTCCATGTGTTGGAAGAAGTTCACAGGAGTAGTTAGGAAGCTACTGAAGGAATCCAGCTGAGCAGTGATGAGGATCTAACATTGGCAATGACAGTGAGTATGGCGAAGAGCAGATGAATTAAAAAAAAAACATTTAGGAGATAAAAATGAAAGAGCCTGGAGAAAGATTAGTCTAGAATGATGGTTGTGGAGCCGCAGAGATGATGGTATGATTTTGTGGTGGTGGTGGTGGTGGTGAGGGAGTAGTTTAAGAAAGTGCTTGAGTCCAGTTCTGGGCTGAGGTACTGTGGACTATTCTGGTAGAAATGTCTGTCAAAAGTCGAATATATAAATCTAAGATTCAGAAGAATAGTATTGGCAGAGAGATACAAGTTTTGGAAATTTTAAGTGTAAAGGTGGCACTTCAGAGCATGGGTGTGGATGAACTTGCTCAGAGATTTTAGGGAATGAGAAGACAAAAGGGGCAAGGATAGAACCCTAAAGTCCAACTTGCAGTGGGTGAGCAGAGGACAAAGAGCCCAAGGAAGAGATTAAGGGAATGGCCACAGAGGTAGGATGGAAACCATGAGGAGCGGGTCACAGAGGCTTAGAGAGGGGGCAGTTTCAAGGTGGGAGTGGTCGCCATTCTCAAATGTCAAAAGAAGGCCATGAAGGGGCCGGCCCGGTAGCGCAAGTGGTTAAGTGCGCGTACTCTGCTGCGGCGGCCCGGGGTTTGCTGGTTCGGATCCTGGGTGCGCACAGACGCACTGCTTGGCAAGCCAGGCTATGCGCACCGACGCACTGCTTGGCAAGCCAGGCTATGGCGGCGTCCCATATAAAGTGGAGGAAGATGGGCACGGATGTTAGCCCAGGACCAGTCTTCCTCAGCAAAAAGAGAGGAGGATTGGCGGATGTTAGCACAGGGCTGATCTCTTTACAAAAAAAAAAAAAAAAAAAAAAAAGAAGGTCATGAATAAGGGCTCACAAGTGTTCACTGGATTAGGTCTCTGGGAGGTCACTGGTGAGCTGAAGGCCATTTCAGTGTTGTGTTGGGCCTGAAGCTGGAATGCAGTGGCAAGGAATACACCAGATAGAACAGGATCGAGGTTATTCTGTAGAGCTGAAGGAGAGTACAGGGTCGAGGAAGAGGAAGAGGGGTGTGGAGTTTTAGTAATAACAGGATAGGAGAGATTTAAGCACGTTGAGGGGCAAGAACTAGCAGAGGGAAAAGAGAGAGGAGGGAAAAGAGAGATGAGAGGGTTAAGTGATCAAGTCTGGTTCTTTAGGCACTGTGAGGGGTGGAGGCTGGAGCATAGGGCAAGGGTCAGCCTTAAGAACAAAACACCCAAGGGGAGGACTGAAGTGGCCGTGAAAGCCAGAGAGAAAGGTGATTTATACCCGTGAGCATGGCGGCGAGGGTGAGCATCTCGTCCACACAGTCAAACTCGCACGAGGCCAGCAGGGCTTTGGCCAGCTCAGGGCTCAGGGGGAACTCTGACAGGATGACTCCCAGGTCTGACAGGTCCCCATCATCATCCAGGGCTGCCAGATAGTCTAGGTCTTCCAGGGCCTGCATCAGTGCTTCTGGAGCTGGTGAGGAAACAGGGCTGACACGGCAGGGGTCTCAGAGCCTGGCGGTCAGACAGCAGGACTTGGGCAGGAGGGGTGCTCACCAGGCCGGTCCAGGAAGTGACACTCCCCTGGCGCTGCAATCTGTCTCCTCTTTAGTGGTAATAGCAGGGGGCTCAGATTCTCCTCACACACCCTGGGTTGAGGCAGTAGGGGAGCCTCTAGCTCTAGGAAAGACTTAGGATACAGGCAGAGGCAGGACCCTGAGGGGAGAAAGACCTGGGAAAGAAGACCACTGTAGATTTCTCAGGGCTTGTGGGTTAGTGCCTCTGTCGTGTTTGATCTCAGGCAGGGCAAAGGCTCTTACCTGGTGTGGCCCCTCTTGCCCGCAGTCGTCTTGCCTCTGCCTGACACCTGCTGATTGGCCTCAACACTTGGGATTCTGCTCGGATCTGAGGATTGTAAACCTGTCACCGCCCCCCAACCAAAGTCAAGACAAATCAGAGCGGGCCATTTCCATCTTTAGCCCCCATGTCCCCTCATCTCTCTCACTCACACTTTGAAGCTCCAGTCCTGAGTCAATGACATGTCGGATGGAAGGGAGGGAGAAGGAGAAGTCCGCCAGCCAGTGAGTGACCACGACCTTTCGGGCACCTGAATCAATGTCCTTGTACACAGCCTGAACGCCTTGACCATGGCCTGGGTGAAGGGGCAGCACCCATGGTGGAGGCCCTTGGAGAGCCAAGGGCCCCTCCTCCCTGGACAAGGATTCACAGCACAGGGAAATTTCCTGAGGAGAGGGGTGGGGAATTAGGGCAGTTCTCACCTTTTTGGGTCACAGACCCCTTTGAAAAATTGATGAAAGCTATGGCCTTTCACTCTGAAAAAATGCACACACTCATAATGGTGGGGGTGTTATAATTTCAGGAATTCACTGAACCACAAATCTCTGTATTAGATGGAATTGAAAAGAGGGTGGTAGACCTCTTTACTCTGAAATCCTTGAGTTTTTACTCAGGACCCCAACAGAGAGTAAACACTATAACTCCAACGTTCTTAATAAGCACTGCTCCCGTCCCCCAGGCCAAGCAGCTGGTACACGAGTACCTCCTTTTGCAGCCCCCCCCTTTTTTTTGTGAGGAAGATTAGCCTAACATCCAATGCCAGTCCTCCTCTTTTTGCTGAGGAAGATTGGCCCTCGGCTAACATCCGTGCCCATCTTCCTCTACTTTATATGGGACACTGCTGCAGCACGGCTTGACAAGTGGTGCATCGGTGCGCACCCGGGATCCGAATGTGCGACCCGTGGGCCACCGAAGTGGAGCTCGTGAACTTAACCGCTATGCCACGGGGCCGGCCCCAGCAGCCCATTTTTTTACCTCCTCACTGGGCAGGTACACAAGCACATCTCCTGGAGCCTCCTGCTGACACAATTCAAGCACAGCTTGGCAGGCAGCTTCTACTCGGTCAGTGGGGACAGAGTCCCTGTAGACAGGAGTGGGACACTCGCCAGGCCCTCTGGGTACATGTACAGTAGGAGTATTGCCCCAGAAGGCTTGGAGCTTAGGTTCAAGGGCTGGGTCAGTAACCACAACCACTCTGGGGTCCCCTGGAAGGTTTCCCAGCTTGGCATCTCGCAGCAGCCCCTGGAGCAAATCTGAGGCCACTGACCGCTCCTGAGCCTCATCCAGCACCAGCACATCCCAGGCTCCAGTGCCCCGGGTCGAGGCCACCTCCTGCAGAAGCAGCCTGTCCCAGCAAAACCTGTTGACATTGGCAGTGGGCAGAGGAGTCAGTGTGGACGCTGACCAGCCCCAGAAGTCCGGGGAAACTTCTCCCCAAGGGGCCTAGATTTTGATAGTGAAGGGCAGAAAAAGACCTTGTGACTTCCTGAGCCTGTGGACCCATTACTGTGACCCCTAACCCCCAAAACAAAGATGACACTTTGTTCTCAAGCTGTACTCCAGCTAGGAAAGCGAGACTTTCATGATGAGGGTGAGGCTGAATGTCTGAGTCCCTGGTTGGGGTTAAAGGGCTTAATTCAGCAGTTGCATCATGCATGATTTAAAGGGTGAGCTGGGCTGAGGGAGGGCATGGTGAGATGTGAGAGAACTGGGCTTGTTTCTACCGGGTGAGGGCAATTAGATTTGGGTCAGGCCTGCAGGAGGCCCCACCTGAGCAGGGTGTCGGGCCCAGTGCAGTCCTCCTGGGGGATGCTGTATCCAACCTCATGACCCAGGGTCAGGTCCATCTCATCAGCAACCCGCAGGGCCAGGCTCACGGCTGCCAGAGGGTAGGGCTGAGTGACAGTTACCCGGCCCTTCTGGAACCCCCTGGCCAGTGCAAACTCTGCACACCACTGAGGGATCTGGGGTGGGGGTAGTGAAGGACAACCAGTCAGTGAGATGCAGGACTTCAGTTAGAAATGCTGGGGGAGCTATGGCCAGTTTACTCTCTCTTTATTTAGGGAGTCCCCTGGTCCTCTACCAGCCACCCTGGGCCAGCCTAAGCAGTCTCCCTTTGCCCACCTCCTCTATGATCCCTTGTAGCCCAATCCCTCCTTGTCCAGGGAAGGGCCAGTTCCCTAGCCCCTCCCTTTGTCCACTCCCAGAATCTCCCCTGACCTGGGTGCTCTTGCCAGAGCCAGGCTCTCCAGACACCAGCACCACTCCACTGGGGCTACTGTCCAATTGCTCCAAGAAGATAAAGCGAGCAGCCCAGATGGGCAAGGCTCGGCGCTGCTCAAGCAGCTCGTAGTAGCGGGAAGAGAAGGGGAGCCCATCAAAGGGGTTCACAGCCAGTTCAGACTCCCCAGGGCTTGGGCCAGACTCTTCTGCCAGCCCAAGAAGCTGAGAGGCCATGGTGGCTGACTGGCAGGACCTACAGAAGGCAGGGCAGTCATTAAGGCCTCATATTTGGTGGCTAACACATCCTCCCACCTCAGCCCTGATCCCTAACCTGTACCCTCATGTGATAATGTACTGGAGTCCATCTTTCCCAACATTTCTTGCCTGCCAGGAAATAGTGGAGATTTGAGTCTCCAAGTAAGGGACTATCAAAAGTGAACTATTACCCTGTAGTCAGATAGTAAAAATCCTGTGACTACCACAGGGGTCCTCAAGGGCAGCAGGAATTATATGAGACCTGGTACCCTGTGGGGAGGTCCCCAGGGGAAAAGGCTAAAGAATAAGAGGAGGAGGGGGGCAGGAACCAGGGAACAGGGCCACAAGGACCCTGGATTCAAACCTGCTTGCAGCTCTGAGACGTGTCAGGATGGCAGCCAGTTCTAGACCCACCCAGCCAGTTACCACCAACCCTGACCCGCATGAAGTACAAAGGTAAATTCTGGCTCCACCCTGGGGCTTGGCTCAAACCCTGAACCCTAAAGACTGGTTTTGGGGTGGGGCCATTTGCTCCACCTTATTTAACCTAGTCAGGAGCCTATGGAAAAAGGCTCCAACCACCACACTGAGCATGTGTGAACTTTACAGACACCTGTGCACTGTGCTCGTTAGTGAAAAGCATCCTGGGACTTGCAGTTTTGCAGCTGTTCCTTCACAAATCAGGGCTCAACACCCAAGCTAGGGTCCAGTTGTTCCTGAGTCTTCAGTTCAGTTACAGTTCCTTAATATCACTCATCTCTTGACATGAGGAGGTGATTTCAGACAGTTCCATTCAGACCACCCCCCCACAAACTCATCCCCACCAACCAATGGAAAAGGAACTTGCTCAGGGGGATTTTGACACCCAGAGAGGCAACAGAGACCTTGAGTGAAAACCCTGAATTTAATGTGATACTGGGGGAGCCCCATCCCTCCCTTTTTACCACCCACTCATCCGGCCTGTCGTGAGTTGGGTAAGGGCTGCCCCCAGTCTCCGTCCTGCGGCTCTGGGTGCCATCTTGTGCTCAGTCAGCCTCCTGGGCCTGTCTCTCTGTGAATCGCCTACAGGACATAAGAAGACATTGTGTGGACTTTGCCATATTGGCCCCATAATTAGCTCCCTTCTCCGACCTGCCCCTTACTACCCATTGTCCTCTAAGCCCCTCACCTTCTCGCGTATTCATATAGTGCCTGCTTGCGCTCCTGTAGGCTCTCCTGCCGGGCCCAGGAGGACTTGGCAAATGTTAGGGCTGTGGGCTGAGGGGTCACCAGGCCAGAGCTGGGGAACTGAGGTGATCACAATGTCAGAGGGCTTGCGAAGTCATCATCATTAAACACGCATCGAATGCCTACTTTACAAGAGAGGCACTGTGCTAGGGTCTCAGGATCGAAAAAGAGACATCAGGGCTAGGGAGTATTTAGACTGTTCCATCCCACCCCAAGTCTTGGACCTGACCATTTTCTGGGTCTCACCTTGGGGGCTGAGGCTGTGGGAAGCGACTGGGTCTCTTCAGCAATGTCTTCAGGCATGAAAGCTACAGCTCCCTCAAGCAAATTAGTGATAGTCAAGTCTACACAGCCAGTCCTGGCTGGGGAGAAGGGAAGAGAGGAGAGGGGAGTCTGTTTCTCTGCTCACCTTCTCCCCTCACCACCCACTGTTCCTTTCTGTGCCTGTCTTCTTGTGTGAGGCTACCCTTTCCCATACCCAGGTCTCTCTGGATGACACCCAGTGGTACATGGGGTAAAACCTCCTTGACTCTCTGAGCCAGAGCTGCCAGCTGCACATCAGGAGAAGGGCCAGGGGAGGGAGGGAAAGAAGGCTGGGCTGCAAAAAAGAAATCCGAAATATGGTGAGTGGAGAACTAGGAGGAAGGAGAGGCTGACTAGCACAGGAATAGGGGGAAATCACAGTAAGCTAAAAAAACCCAAAAAGCTTTGTGTACAGAGACCACCCACCTGACTGGGGGCGCAATCTGGGGTGTCTTTGTCGCTTCATGTGCTCTGCTTTGTCTGCTGGAGTGAGTCGTGTCCCTGTCTGGCCCAATTCTTTGGCCACCAGCTAGGGAGAATTGGAAGGTTGGAAGTGTCAAGGTTTCAAGCCTTCCTCCCTCACCACCTAAGGAAAGACCCCACCTCCACCCCGCCTGTGTATCCTACCACCTGTTGTACACGGAGGGCAAACTCCTCATTCCCCTCCCCCAGCTGGCGATGAACAGGACGGAGCCATCTGCAAAAAACAATCCAGGAACATCTTGGGGGCACCCGGGGTAGAGGCTGTCACCTTCTCCTCACTTTGATACTTTTCATGGAAAAGTGGTGGTGCGAGTGGGGAGATAGTCAATACTTTGTATTGCTTCTATGGCGCAACTTGATATTAAAAGATCTGCAAATGGATGGGGCAGAGGCAACTACTTCCTTGACCTTGAGGTGAGTGTCTCCCAGCCACCATAAAGTGAGGACAGTTAATACCTTACTTGATACACCGTGAAAGGGACGAAAAGCGACCACAGCAATTCTGAGACCCAGGAAGCATCTGACACCGTCTGAGGGGAGGGCATGAAGTGAGGTCTTCATAAAGCCAGGGCCAGGAGTGGGAAACTTCCGCTCCAAGACCCAGAGATTCCCTGTCCAACACGCACTCACCACAGAGACTAGGGGTCTCTGGACTCGCAGGGTAAGAGGTTGTACCACATCCTGGATAGAAAATGGCCAGGAACTAGAAGAGAGAAGAGAGGGTAAGATGGCATTCCAGCCACTCCAGGCAGCAGTTCATACCTGACTTAAAACAGGAACTGTCAAACTGTACAAATAGATAAATGGAGAATAAAGAATTTCCGAGTAAAGAACTAAAACAAGACAGGAAGGAAATGAACTAGGAATGGAGTGGGTAGGGCTGAAGAAGGTTGTTAAAACCCAAGGGCCCCCAAGCCTGACCACCCACCACCCAGCTGGACACCGCTACCTATGCTCACCCACCTGAAGCGCAGAAGCCCCTCCCGGCCATTGGTAGCCTCTTCCTCGGGGAACAGCAGCAGAGGGGTGGGGGGAAGCCTCGTGGAAGCACAGAATCTCTTGAGTGACTCCACCAACTCCCCCTGCCCATCCACCTCCATGAACCCCCGAGACCAGCACACAAAGCTGGGGGGACTATTGAGTAGAGGCTGGGAACGGGAGAAGAGAGAGCAAAGAGAAAAGAATGTTGGGAAGTGAGAAAAACTGACATATGAGGTAGAGAAGCGGGATTAGGAGTAAGGCTCAGTAGCTTGTGGTCCCCAAGGAAAACCCGGGCGGGCAGAGGGGCAAAGAGGAGCCAAGAGCTGGGCCCCAGAGAACCGCCCCGTGGCGCTCTCGGCTTCGCCCCCCACTCACGGTGCTACAGCTGGTGAGCAGATTGACTATATTGTGATCGAAAGGTGTCACGTGGTTGGAAATGAGGACCCTGACGCGGTGATCCCGGAGTCCAGAGTCCTCCTGCCGGGCCACAAGCCCCAGCACCGCACACATGGTCCGCACCACGAACCTAGGGACACAGGCAGTGGTGACTGCACAGCCTCGGGCCGGACCCAGCCCTGACCCTCCCCGAGCGCCTGGGTCGGCACCTGCGAAGGACGCTCTCTGGTAGTGCGCAGCTGACCAGGAAGACGTGGATGCCAAGAAAGAGGCGCAGGACGAGGAGGCAGAACCCGACAGGAGCGTAGAGCAGCAGCGCGAGGAGCAGGAAGCCGTCACCCGGGAGCCTAGGGGCGAGAAGCGGGGTGACTGGCCGCCGAAGGCCGAGTGGACGCGGGAGCCGGCCACTTCCCGCCGGGACTCTTACCGGTGCGAGTCGAAGAGCCGCTCCGGCCCCGGCGCCGGGGGAGGTTCCATCGCTAATACTTTAGGGGTGTCGGGCCCCTTCCGCCGCCGCCGCCATCTTCACGCCCCGCCGCAGGGGCTCCTGGGAAGGCGGAGTCTTAGGGCATCGTCCCAGGGTGCCCGGACCCGAAATCCTCAGGCGCCCCGGAAGGGCTAGCGGTCCCAGCATGCCTCGCGGGCCCTCGGGCCACCTCAGAACTTGAGTCCTGCGGGGACTACAATTCCCGACAGTCGCGGGGCGGGGGCGGAGCCGGCCTCCTGGAATCCTGGGTCCCGGCGTGCACTTCTGGAGGACTTCAGGTACCGGCGTGCCCCGCGTCCCGCTGTCCGCCAGCTCGGGTCCAGGGCGCCGCCTACGTGTAGGGCGGGCGAGGAGGCAGCTGAGGCGGAGCTGATGGCTGCACTGAGGGCGGGGCAGGGTGCAGGCTGGAGCCTACGGGGATGGCGGGCTTTGGGGGGGGTTCGCTGGGGGAAGGGACCCCCGTTGACCCCTGACCTCCGGGCCCTGCTGACGTCAGGTACTCCTGACCCTCGGGCCCGAGTGACTTATGGGACCCCCAGTCTCCGGGCCCGGTTGTCTGTGGGGGTCCCTGAACAACGGACATGTCTGACATCGGGGACTTCAGATTCCCGAGCACAGCTGACTGCGGGAACCCCAGACCCCCGGACGCGGGAGGACTCAGGGACCCCTGGAACCCGTCTGCGCGTGTGGCTGGCGGTGGCGCTGGGCGCCGGGGGGGCAGTGCTGTTGTTGTTGTGGCGCGGGGGTCGGGGTCCTCCGGCCGTCCTCGCCTCGGTCCTCGGCTCGCCGCCCACCTCTCCCCGGAGCCAGTACAACTTCATCGCAGACGTGGTGGAGAAGACGGCACCTGCCGTGGTTTATATCGAGATCTTGGGCCGGTAATGGGGGGGGTAGACCAGGAGGCATGGAAGCCGCGGGCTAGAGGGCGGGGGGAGCAGGAGAGGTCCGAGCCCCCTCACATCCGTGCTTTCCCCGCATCCCAGGCACCCTTTCTCTGGCCGCGAAGTCCCTATCTCGAATGGCTCCGGATTCGTGGTGGCTGCCGACGGGCTCATCGTTACCAACGCCCATGTGGTGGCTGATCGGCGCCGAGTCCGTGTGAGGCTGCCTAGCGGCGACACGTATGAGGCAGTGGTCACAGCTGTGGATCCCGTCGCAGACATTGCCACGCTGAGGATTCAGACTAAGGTGGGCGTCCGGCCAGGCCGGGTCTGTTTGGGGCTGTGAATTTGCTCGTATCTCCAGATGACAGCTCTCTTGTACCCACTCTCCCTTAGGAGCCTCTCCCTACACTGCCCCTGGGACGCTCAGCTGATGTCCGGCAAGGGGAGTTTGTTGTTGCCATGGGAAGTCCATTTGCACTGCAGAACACAATCACATCTGGCATCGTCAGCTCTGCTCAGCGTCCAGCCAGAGACCTGGGCCTCCCCCAAACCAATGTGGAATACATCCAGACTGATGCTGCCATTGATGTGCGTCCTGATGTGACAGAAATGACAAACTAGGTTGGGGGAGAGGAGAGATACTGTGTGGTGTAGGCACCAACTGTGTTTGATGGTGGATAAGGCTATACACAGAGGTTGGGCTGCAAAAAAATGTGGCCACTCATTTATGGGCTGGGAAAGGAGAGAATTTGGAGAAAGTGCGGACATCCTGATTATGCCCCCAGGCATAGAGTCCCTGGATCTCTTCCATATTTTCTTCTTGTCCTGCAGTTTGGGAACTCTGGAGGTCCCCTGGTTAACCTGGTGAGTGGGATATCCTTCTTTCCAAGAATCCCTGCCCCAGGTCAGTGTGGAATGGTAGGTTTTCCCTAATTCAATGATGTTTGGTCAAGTTTCTGAGCAGTCTCTTATAGGCTTTCTCCCAGAATCCAACCTGATCTCCCCAA